CGACTTCACCTGGCCGTGTTCACCAGCGTCTACGGCCGAGCAGAGCTTCACGACTTTTCAGCAGACGGGCTCTGGCTCCCCACCCCGAGCAAGGTCCCGCAGCTCAAGAGCAGAAAACAGAAACGCATTTCCTTCTTCCCGGGCTCGGGCGTGGGGTGATTACTCGGCAAACGGCCCCGTCACATTTGGTCATCTCGGACATTTCTCCTACCCACCGGCTCCTCTTCCCGAACGGATCCAGAGACATTCCTCAAAATGTTCTGCTCCAACAAGCGTGTGACAAGACAGCTTGTCAGGTTGTCTCTTTCTTGCCAAAACGAGGCCACGACGCTGAGGTCCAGTCCTTCCTTCGTTTAGAAACGATGTGATAATGGCGTGCTGGCTTAATTTTCCGAGAAATGAGATGCTCCTTGGCTGGCGACGCTCCCGCAGCCCCACGAGGACGCATCATTATCTCCTTCGAGTCGTTCCCGTGGGAGTCCCCTCATTAATTTAAGATATAGATGAGGGCTGTTCAAACAGGGAGCTTACGAGGTTAAATCCTGCCGTGTCACCGAAGCATAGTCGTGGCACTGGGGCCAAAGACCAGCTCCAGTCACCAGGGGTTCCCGAAGGAAGAACGGCGTCGGTGGAACTAAAAACTAAAATAAAAAACTAAAACTAACATAAAAATGGACACAGACAACAGAAGTGGGTTGAACTGGCCGATTTACTGCAGTAAACGTGGCATTATGTTTGCTAGCGATTTCCTTGTAACATACGTCATCTATGTTTTCCTAACATTACCTAACTTGGAAAACGTTCCTATGTGTAATCAAGCTTTAAGAAGTAACATGGCGATTCTCCCCTAGTTCTCCCGCATACCCTTTGATTGTTGATTAATTTCTTACATTATTCCATTACACGTCTGCGTTTATCTATAATCTACAAGGCATTTGCTTTGCTGTTCTCGTGAAAGGCCCTCCGTTTCTCAACACCTCAAGGGGAACAGTGACAGGGACGTGACCTCCTAACCACATGAGGCCAGGAGAACAATGTGTCTGCCTCGGTCCCAGGTGCCAGGAAGGGGCCGAAAAAGCCTTAGAAACCCACGCCTCCTACATTCTCAGAGAGACAACGCACCTAGGAACCAATGAACCATTCTGTAGCTTAACCGACTAGGCTCAGTCATCATCTGGAATGCCTCCGGGGGGCCAGGTGGGCCTAGGGGTTGAAGTCACCTGTGCCCAGAGATACACTCCTTAGTTGCCGGAGTGGGGCTTTCCAATCCATGTCTCTCCCTTACAGGCCCTCTTTGCTGGCAAAGGCATGAGGCTATCCTTCCTGCGAGTAGAGGAGTCTCCATAGAGGATGGCGAGGGCTAAACGAAAGGCCGCACAATTTCTTGCGGAACCTTATTTTCTTCCCTAATGGTTCTTTTCCCAGGGGGCCTGCTGAGGGCCATTCCCCAACAGACAATACCCCCGGTAGTTTTAAGGCCAAATTACCTAAAAGCGGGAGGACGAGAAGCTTCCCTGTCGGCAGGCCACCCTGCAGTCACCAATCCGTCCACAGCCCGGGCCCTGCCACTCAGGCCGGGACAGCTTGGCTTCCAGCACACTGGGGCAGTTTTGCCGGGCGCGTCCCACACAGTCACTGCCAAGCGCCCCTCCACGGGGAGCGCGAGCGGCCAGCAGTAACTGGCAGGCTGGTTTTCCAGGGACACTGGCATTAAGGGAGATCAGCTCCGTCCGTGACGGGCCCCTGGCCAAAATGACTACCTATCTACTCCGACACTGGCAAGTCCCGGCACACCCGATCACACGTGCATGGAAGCACCACGCACACCTGCACTCACCCCTGCATCCCCGCACGCACACTTGCACTCGTGCCTGCACCCCTGCACGCACACTTACGCCCCATCTGCACTCGTGCCTGCACCCCTGCACGCACACCTGCACCCCTGCACGCACACTCACGCACACCTGCACGCGCACTCACATGCCTGCACGCGAATCACACACACGCACGTGTTACACAAAGGGCGTTACGTAAAGCACGGGGTCTCAACTAATCATCAGATGTCGTACCTCCAAGATGCCAGGAACCTTCCAGAACAAAAGAGCACCAGACAAGAGCTTCTTTTCCTTCCTTTCCTCACAGAGACCCTAACAGCTCCACGGGAAGGGGGGTCGCTACGGATAGGCTCTAATTAAATCCGGTGGGTCAGGGTACAGGAGGGGCACCTCCACGCCCTTCCCCCGGGTCCCTGACTGCACGCTGACTTCCGGCCGTCCCCAAGCGGAGGTGCTGGCCCGCTGCTGGCAGCAGGGCCGCGGGCCCCACAGCCCCTTCCCTCCCAGCCTCAGACGGCGGGACCAGCAGGAGGGTGACCATGCCCCGCAAGGCGTGCTGGGAGCCAGAGAGGTACAGATGGGACTCCGTGAGAGTACCGCAGCAGGGAGAGAGGTCGCTCCGTCCCTGACATCCAGGAGACACTCCAGCTGGACCCTGCAGGGAGAGCCGACGCCCCAGAGAAAGGAGAGGCTGCTGCAGACAGACCGGAGAGCGAGAAGTGTGGGAGCACGGAAGGCGGGGCGTGTCGGGGCCGCTGGGCTGGACAGGTACGAGGGCTCGGTGTCAGGTGAGGAATCCGGGCTCCGTGGCCCGGCAGTGGGAGGTTTTCGCACAAACGAGGGACAGTTTTCATCCTGGGGGAAGCTCAGACTGGGAGCGAACGTGGGGACGCTGAGGCAGCAGTCAGGAGCAATGGTGTCCTGCTCTAAGGCAGGGACAGCGGGAGCAGGGACAGGAGGTGGTGCAGGGACTCAAGGAACAGGGCTCCGATGCTCCGGGGCTCAGCGCGGACCGGCTCTCCTCGAGGGGAGGCGAGGGGCTGGGAGGGTCCTGGGGTTGGACCGCTGAGGCCCGGCTGATGGTGCACCTCCAGGAGAGGGGCAGGCACACAGGTGTGCACCGGGCGCACGCACTCCTCAGACAGCAGGCATCGGGCCCCACTCTGCTCCTCCCCTTACACCCCGTCCACGACTTAGACAACAGCAGGAGTGGCGGCGTTCAGTGGGACCCACGTGATTTGTGAGCAGCACTCCACATCTGGTAAGAAGTTTCCATACCCAGACGGCTCTGTGAGTTGGTCAGTGGAGGCTCAGAGAGGGCGAGCAGCGTGGCTACTGTCAGCCAGGAAGTGAGAGCGTGGCCCCCGCCCCCTGAGCTGTGCGTGGTGGGCTGGAACGCAGCCGGGAGACCAGCCTGTTCAGCGCCTCGTCACCCTCCGTCCAGACAGCCTGTGCCGAAGCCACTGTCATATTTCTTTCCTCCAGAAAGCAGCACAGCCAGAGAGATTATTTTGACATATTTCCTGAAGACGCTGTTTCTAGAGCACTTGCCTGATAAAAATGATATATTTATTCGGGACCGCCAAGAGCTTGCTGAAATGAGGAATTTATCTGCATAGCTTTTGTTATTAAAGTGATTCTTCTTGTTTATTTCCTCCTAAGCTACTGATTCCATCTATAATACATGAGTTTCAGGTAATAGAAATTTTTCATGCAAGTAAATATTTTAAAAACAACCTCACGGCCTCGACTCAGAGCGTTCCTGGCAACAGCCTGCACACGAGAAAGCTGTGCCCTGGGGCCCAGGGGCCTGGGTTCTTGTCTCCTCCCTGCATCTGTGACCTGGGACAGAACCCAGCTGTCTCTGGGCCTCAGTTTCCTTATGAGCAAAGCACGGTAGCTACCACGAGCCCCCGACTCACAGGGGCCACCATCAAGATCAGACGTGAGGACGGCTCCGAAGGGAGGCTGCAGGCTTTGCGACACGAGGGCCTCGCGAGCTTGGGGTATTGGCTGTGGCTTGACCGAAACAGCGCGCTCCTCTCCGAAGGCAGTGGGGTCTAGCTTGGAGGCTGACCCTCCAAGGCTGTCAGGGACAAGGCCGGGCGGCCAGGGCCGCCGTCCCCGATGCGGGCCTGCCAGCTCGGTATACGGTGCTGGCCTTACGGGTCAGGGCCTGGAAGGGCACACAGCACTCGCACTCACACCCTACTGCCCACATCTGGCCACAGGGGCACCCGGCTCTGCCAGTCATGGCAAGGCTGGGAAACATAGCTTCTAGCCTGGGGCCACAGCCCAGCTAGCGCTTGGAAGGGGGGAACAGACGCCGGGGGACACTCAGCATCACGGGCGGATGACCGCTCGGGACAGTGGCCGCAGAGACGGAAGGGCCCCTGACTCCCTCCTCACCCTCCACGCACCGCCCACCACACGTTAGCACTCACGCGTGTTCCCGTCAACTCATTCACGATTATTTGTCCAAACCACTTTCCCCTTGTTACTTCCTGCCCAGAGAGCCAGATTATACGAATTCGGGGCGCGGATGTCACGGAACCCAGCGGTGCCCGGAAGGGAGCGAGCCGAGCCTACTCACTAGGACGCTTTCGTTCAGCTCTAGGAAGAGCCACCGGCCCACACTGATGTGTTCCAGCTGCCTCGCGACACTGGGCTCCTGGGGTCACGACTGCTCACTGGGACCCACACATCTGCAGCCTGGGAGGCCTGGGTCCCCCAGGAAGGAAAGTCACCCTGGTCGGGCACTTCCGGGCGACAGGCTGTGCTCGGCGTCGTCCTCACCTGAATGGTGCCCTGCCGTACCCACCCGTGTTTCCCGGCACACCCAGCGCCATCCTTCCAAACCCTCCTCTCCCGCCACAGGGCCTTTGCACAAGCTCTTGTCTGCCTGGAAGCCCCTTCCTACCCCTGTTCGTCTTGCTGCCCCTCCTTCAGCCGAAGCCCTAGTTCACTCTGAGAAAAACCCCAATTCCTACAAGGCTTCCGGGTGGAGCCACCCCACAACATGCATGTCCTACCGGGGACACCCTGACATCCACGATTAGGACAGACCCACAGGTATAAACGGCACAAAGTGGGGGGGAGCGGGACGCGGTCCCTCCCCACATGGCTCTGCCCCAGCACCCCTGCCCCCAACGTCCCCCGGCCCACCTCCGGGCTCGGTGCTGGCGCTTCCCACCGGCCTCACCGGAGTCGGCCAAACTCCTGCTGCTGCTGCTGCTGCTGCCGCCACCGCTGCTGCTGCTGCTGCAGTCGCGGCGCCAACGTCACCGGCTCCGAGAGGCCCCGACGGTGCGGCGACCGGCCTCCGTCACCGGCTGTCCCAGCCCGCGACCACAGAGGTCACCGGCCCCGGCACCGCGCACAGCCCCGCACGTGCACACGGACCTCCTGCCGCCCCGACCGGCACGTCCAGGTCCGGGGTGACGGGCCGGAGGCCTGGCCGGCCCGGGGGACTCCCGCTGCTGCTCTGCGCCGGCGCCAGGCTCGTCTCTCCCCCCCACACACGGGAGGGACCCACGGAGAGACGACACGACCACAGTTTCCATGGCTCCTGCGAGAACCCGACAAGCCTCTCGCTCGGTTTGGCCGGCTCGGGTCACGTGTCCCTGCCCACCCAGAAGTCCGGGGCAGGGAATACTCGGATTGGCCGGCTAGGGTCACGTGTCCTCGTCCGCCCAATCACTAAGGTGCTGGTGAGAAACACTCAGATTGGCCGGCTTGGGTCACATGCTCAGCCTGCCTGAGCTCGTGCTGCCTGCAGAGCCGTGTGGAGCAGTCGAAGGTTAGATGCTTGTTCGGGATCCGAGGGCGGCCGAGGGGGCGCCGTGGCAGGGGTGGGAGGGACGGCGGCCTCTGGAGCGGCGAGGGAGGAGCTGCAAGTTTGTCTTGCGGCGGACAGGACGCGTGGTGCAGGGTGTGTGGGGGCCCCGGCGGGGGCGCAGGGGACTGGGCTGGGGTCCACCGTGGGGGAAGGACGGAGGGGGTGGGGCTGAGGCTGCAGTACGTGGGGAAGGGGGTACAGGCAGGGGAAGGGGCGAGGGCGCTGGGCAAGGGGACAGGGCTGTGGTCCCTGAGGGAGGTGAAGGAGTGGACATGGGGAGGGAAAGGGACCAGAGCGGTGAGCGCGAGGACCTGGCAGGGAATGGGGTAGAGCCAGCGTGTCCCTGAGACTCACCTCTGCGCCACCTGGAGAGGGGCGGGAGGGTGCACGCACTCCTCCCCCTGCCCACCCCTGCCCACCCTCCCCCACTCCTCCCCCTGCCCACCTGTCTCCCAGAGGAGGAGCACCCACTCTCCCTGCTCACTTGATGTGTACAAGCCTCCTGCCCCCAGCACGTCCACCCTTAGCCCAGGGGAGACAGGATCCATCACTCCCATGCAGGGTTCACGCAGGGCAGCCGTGACCCTGGCAACACAGCCGCAATTAGCCAACGTCGGACTGTGTTCAGGAGAAAATGAAGCATGAAATATGCAAAAATAATGAGCCCTTCACTGAAATAACGGGAGCTGCTACGGGGTATGACCAGTGTGAGCGGCAGAGTCGCAATTCCTGGGGAGGAAACCCATTAATAAGGACAATGGCGAAATCGTTGTGTGAGGACCCCGGAACTCACTCGATAATTGATTCGGTCGATAAACGTGGTATTAATCCTCCCACAGTGTGTGACTTAAATGAGGCTTTTATTGACACATTGGGTCTAGTTTCAGATTTTGCAGCTGAAGCAAGTGGGGACGTTGGCAGTGGTGGGGAGGCCAGTGCCAGAGCCAGGCGGGATGACAAGTCACAGAGGACAGAGCCTGCCTGGTGGCCCAGAGAAGACAGCTGCCATTAGGGCCCTCACTGTAACAAATCCCAGTGTCAGACTTCTGCTCAGATCAAGTCCCAGTGTCAGACCTCTGCTCACATGTTCGGGGCCAGGTGTGTGCCAAGCTTCCAGAGAGTTCTGAGAGGTCACAGCGCTGAGTCCTGCTCTTCCCAAACTGCCCTCGGGCAGGTGATGGCAGCTGTCAGAGCCCACCCGGTCTCTTCCCTCCTGGTTCCCTGGGACCTGCTCACAGGAAGCAGAGAGACAGTGAAAGCACGGCTGCTCCTGTCACACCCACGTCCAGTGTGGGCTCAGTCACCTGCCCGCCTTTGACCCTCCATGGACAGAGGTCCTTTTTCTAGTCTGTGAACAATAAAAGCACCTACTTTGCAGGGGGTTTGAAAAATAAATAGCATAACGTGTTGGGTGTTAAGTATTCAGCCCTGGGTCTAGCTCAGAATGGGGGCTCTCTCGATGGGACCGACGATTCTCTATTTCTTTTCCTTTTTTTTTAACGTTCATTTATTTTTTTTTTAATTTTTTTCAACATTTATTTATTTTTGGGACAGAGAGAGACAGAGCATGAACAGGGGAGGGGCAGAGAGAGAGAGGGAGACACAGAATCGGAAACAGGCTCCAGGCTCTGAGCCATCAGCCCAGAGCCCGACGCGGGGCTCGAACTCCCGGACCGCGAGATCACGAGATCCCGTGAGATCGCGAGATCGTGACCTGGCTGAAGTCGGACGCTTAACCGACTGCGCCACCCAGGCGCCCCATGACACCCTCCTTTTTTAAAGAGCCCCAAGGAACAGGACGTTGTGGCTCAGTATCTTGGTCGAAGGAAACGGATTATCAACTGTGACAGTTGAAATATAATGAGGCTCTAATTGGCACCTTTCCTAAACGTTCTGTGCCCTGATCACGTGCAGAGTAGGAGGTATCATTAGGAAGAGAGCTGCAGTTTCCTGCTTTTCAACTTGGTACTTTTCCCACCATAACCCGGCAACCGTTACATCAACCAGCATAATAACAGCCACAGAACAGCAGCAGCTGACGTCCATTGGGGCTCCCTCTCCGCTCTGACCCCCGCTGAGCTTTCTGACGCTCTCCCTTCTGCACGCGTGGGCGCGTGCAGACACCCGGAAGTCTCTGGCTCCTGCCCCTGTTGAGGACAGTGGTTCTCGACGCTGGCACACGTGAGACCTTCCTGGAGACCTTGTGAAGAATACTGATGCCCGAATTCTACCAGCACGTACTCAGGTTCTGTCGGCCTGCAGGGCGGCCTGGGCATTGAAACGTTGAAAAGCTCTCCGGGTAACTCGAACGTGCACGAGCGTGAGTTCACTGGTTCAGGCACTCTGAGGACCACCCTCCTCAGAACTGCAGAAGGCACTTGTTACCGACGCCGAGGATCGTGTCCCGCCCACCAAGACTTCCCAATCAACACGAGCCCATTTGTGTCGATTTACGCCCAAGGGAAGTGTTCCTCCTCCCGCACTTACACCAAATTTAAAGGCAGGTGGTTTTCCTTACAGTGAGCATCAAGGGTTATTTTTGGTTCCCTAACGAGGGGAACGAGGGTTCCCTGGTAGACTCCGCACCTGGCCCCGGGTCGTAGCCTGTTATTCCAAATCAAATTTCAAGTTCAGCAAAGGCCTTTGGGGCAAAAATCCAAAGACTGGGAAGGATGCCTGCCTTCGCTAGGTTTTTGACCTCATTGTTCCTTTCTTTCCGATTTATTAGTGTATTTAAGGAGGAAAGATGACGTCCGGCACCGTTTCGGAGGGAAGGGTGGTCAACAGGACGTGGTATGCCATACTGGACGGGCAGAAGTCTGAGCTGTGCAATTCCTACCTATCGGAGTTCGTTGAGATTTCCGCTGTAACCTAATACGTGTCGGTTTGTGTGAATGTTTGTTTCGTGTGTGCTTGAAAATAATGTGTGCTGTCTGTTGACTAAAATGTCACATGCATATATGCAGAAATATATGTGACCAGCTAGTGACTGTGAATAATCTCCCTGATTTGTGGGTTTCAGAGAGAGTCCGTGCTGATCGTAGATCAACTTTTTCCTATACTTCTTCACCCATCAGATTTTGCATCCCGTGGTTTGAAGCCACGGTCTCGGGTCACAAGGTTGCCGATTGCTGATCCTTGTCAGTGGATTGGACCTCCCGCCGACATCCGTCATCCCTCTTTATCCCTTTAATACTTCCTGTCTACTTTTTTCTTCCTCCAGACCCCACTTCCTACCTATCGCCGAACGGACCAAGTATTTTCATCGCACGCTGCTTCTCTAATGTTGAATATTTCCTGTTCCGTTGCCTTCTCCGTTGTTTTGGAGAAAACCCCTAAATACTCCACATCCGTACTTAAAGCTACATCACCGTCAACATCTAGAAGGAACCAGTCTCTTATGTCTTCCCCTCAAACAAAACAAAACTCTGAATTCCTTTGCTTTCTTCCACCCCTTCATGTCTCTCCCACATTTGTGTCCTCTGGGATCCTGATGCCAGATCGCCGTTGTTTTTAGCAATCAGACACGATTTATCTCTAGGCTGTACTAGTGTTTTGCATCTCCCCTCTTCTTTGATTGATCTCTCATTTCCGTATTAATTTAGTCAGATGGATTGTGAGAAGGGGGGGGGTAGACAGAATGGGCGGAGGGGAGGTGGGAGGTCCAGCCTTCCAGTTCTGGACTGAAGAGGACATGGGGATGGGAGGTTCCACGCGGGGATCGTAGTCCCTGGTATTGTCATCCCGTCATGTGGTGGCAGGTGGCCGTGTGGAGCCGTGGGGCCGCGTCCCATCACCATGCTGTGCACCTGACGTTCCTGGAACGTTTGTGTCGACTACACTCAGTTCTTCTTAAAAAGTTACTGAAAAAGACCACAAGAAGATGAATTGAACACACATAATCCAAACCACAAGGGAGAGAGAGAGCGATTCACCCAGTATGACTTCTTCTGATCTCAATTCGGGGGAGGGATAGCTAGCTGTTCAATCGCTGCGCAGTCACTGATTCACCAGTCGTGAGTCAGTTAAAAGATTACAGATTTCAATTCTGTCAAAGCGTCGGCCGCTCTTCAAACGACATGATAATTTTTAAGGCTTATTCTTGGAAGGAAGAGGTGAAGCCATAACACACAGATGGGTAATGAGAAGGCAGTGCTCTTAAGTCCTTGCCCATCCGAACGTGCCTTTCCCTTTCCCTCCGGGGCGCTCGAGGCCACGGAGAAAATCGTGCTTTAAGCTGTTTTTCCTCAGAGCCTGGAACGTGCGGCTGCCTGCACGCCTGCATCAGCGTCGGTCCGACTTGCTGTTTCGGGGACCGTCTGCTTCTCGGTTTCTCTTTTGATCCGTTGCTCTTTCTGGAAGGTTTTCGGCATATTTCTCTTTGCCCGTGGTGTTACGAAATGCCTCCCTGATCGTCTGGGGCTTTGTGCGTTCTTTGCCTCACACCTCGGCCCCTGGGCACCTCCCAATAACAGCGATTCCCATGATGCGGGCCCCCGACGTCAAGCTTTCCCGAGTGGCCGGCCTGGATGCTTCCCGCAACCCCACGCTGGAGACCATCATTGTCCTCCTCGTGCAGGGGAGGAAACTGAGCCAGTCGCCCACAGAGTAGCCTTTCCTCAGCCCTGGGAGTTACTTTACTGTCACTTCCCTGAGAATTCCCTGCATTTCGTTCTGTGCCGCATCCGTT